AACTTTCAATAAAGGAAAAATAATCAACAAATAACAATGAAAACTCTTCGAGAGAATAAGTATCTGATTTATATATATTTATTTCACGTTCAAATGGAGAGAAAGAGTATATAGATATGCTCCAACTGATATTGAAAAGCGCATTAATTGCTTTTCAATTTGCATGTGGTATATAAAGTTTGCAAATAATTTTTTCTCCTTCTTTTGGAGTAAAGTTTATGTAGTCGAGGTAAAACTGATTGAAAAATGTATTTTTGAAATATTAGGTATTATCATTCGAAATGAAGTTATATTTCGGTAAAAATACATCATATAAACTTTTCAAAATTATGAAGGAACTTATGAATAAGTGGTTAACTCACTGTCATTTACAAAATTCCTACTTTTCTTTAGTCACACATTTCCTCCCCTATTTATTTCGAAGATAACTTATGGATGTTACAGACCCGGGCGTGACTAATGCTTTAAAAGTCTATTTTGCATCATTAGCCACTCTTTATGCCGTGATTTACCCTAGCGGCGTTTTTGTTGTAAGCACATGATTTTTATTAGATGACATGCGTGAGACTGATAAAAATGATGGATTGTGGTATGGTTTTCAGTGAACACTTATCCTGTTGTTTGATGGAGATGGTAAAAAATTAAATGATTCAAATGGTATGACAATATCGAAGTTGGTCTTGTCATGTGATTCCCCAAAAAATAAAATACTTTCCAAATTTATTTTGCATATCTCAAATCAATGAACAAAATATCTATTTGTTTACCTATAAGAGAAAAGAAATATATGTGGCGTTATGCTGATGCTAATAAACCACCACCACTCAAGTAATTTGAGTGCTAATATGTGTCGAGTTTTTTATTTTCTCACCGACTATGACTCATACCAGCGCAGATAACGAATTCACGTTTCAACACTCCTCTATCAAGTGTTTTAGAAACAGCGCATTTGATTTGTAGCAGTGAATGAATGAAGACCGACCTGGGGCACATCTATACGGACCCAAGATATGTTACAGACAAATTGTATTTTAACTTTATTGTTAAAAAGCTATGTTCTCGATTCTAATTAGTTATTTTAGTTTCATTATTGAAAAGTTGATGATTAATCTTTTCGTGAAGTAGTCAGTCGGACTTGTTTTCTATCTACAAGGTTCAAATGAATTATTATTTTTATTATAAGCAGTCTCAAAAATTTCTAAATACGTTTTTTTATCAACAGTACAATTGGTTGTTCAGAAATTATTTCTGATTTATCAACGGTGAAATACATGCACTTTTTTATCGAATATATAAATTATATTTATAAAACAAAAGAGATATTTTGAAAAGTCTATACTTAATTGTTGAAACTGAAAACCATTAGGACATTTTTTCTCAATTGATATTTGAATAAATTACTATTACAATCGGACATTTAGTAATTTTATGTATCGAAACTTCGATTCTATTATTATTAGTGATTTCCGATTCTAGTATCTCTCAAAATCCTGTATTATTGTTAAACTTTGGGTACCGATACCGATATTTTTATCGTAAGCCCTTCATCGTGTCAACACCATGCTTTTTACCATAGAAGCGTCGCAAATATATTCTCAATGTCATAAAGGGCAAAAAAATGAAATATCTCTTGCTAACATTTTTATGTTTCTCCGTTAGTGAACCTAGTTTGATAATATATTTAATCAGAATATTAGAAAAAATATTTATGCAACTTATTTAGCACTAATACTAACCGTTATGATGATCTTCTGGGACAAACTTGGAAAAACTTTCTCTCCGATTGGTAGATTGTCAAAATTTACGAGAGAGTGATTTCTTGAGAAAGTTAAAACTGATTTGGATGAAGAAACTTGAGTTAAGTAAGATCGTTTTGTGAATGACTATAAATACTCATCAAAGAGAATAAGTACACTATAATTATACACAAGTACTACAGGAAAACCCTTGAGGCGCTCTCAGAGCGGTACCTGTGCGAAAGTAGCGATTCACATTGGATTTGAAGCGCTGAAGAATAAATCCATTTGGAAAAACATTCTCAGGAAGTTTATTCCACATAAACGCAGTTCTCCAGATGAAAGAGTTATAAACAGTGAAGTTCGAGGTGTACTGAGTTGAACCTAAAAAACAATGAGCAGCTACAGTCCGTCGCGTATCTCTGATATGTACCGCTCTTGGTGGAATCAAATGTGACAAGTCACTTGAACACCTTCCGTGAAAGTAGGTATCTATAGAAGAGAGACAAATCCCCAACCTTTCTTCGATGTTCCAGGCTATCAAGGTTGTACGTGATGTTGGCATCTCCAATCAGGCGGATGGCTCTTTTCTGGATGGACTCCAGCAACTTCAGGGTATGTCTGGTGTCAGAGCTCCATTCATGAGAACAATACTCCAAAGAAGGTCTGATCTGAGCTTTATAAAGCATCAAAAGTTGCAGATGTATGTACAGTTTTCTGGTTCGGAACAGAAGTAGAATTCTCTGACCTGACATTATTATATCCGATTCGGAGACATTTATCTTCTTGTAGAAAACGGATTCCTGGGTTTTGTGGCATTCAATTGAATCTGGTTACTTTTACCTCAATTCAAAATCACTTCTAAATCCTCATTAAGATATGCAATCTTCTGTTGCCGGTAAAGATGTGCCTCCGTAGCCGATGTCCTGGAATCCAAATGGAATGACAAGAAAAGAGTGCTGTCGTCAGCAAAGCAATATATTGGATTCTTGTTATTTTCCAATAAGTCGTTGATATACAATAAAAAGAGGGTTGGAGGATTCCCTGGGGAACATCAGCGTTGATGGTGAAAGTACTCGAGAGGTATTCATCGACGCCACTCGCAGGGAACGTTTTTTCAGGAAGCTGGAGAGCCATACACAGAAATGATCAGACAAGCCATAGCATCGAAGTTTGGCCAGCAAACCCTCATGCCATAAACGGTCAAATGCCTTACAAATATCAAGCGCAACAGCTCTTGATTCTCCATGTTTCTCGATTGCATCATTCCAAATATGGGTGACATACGATAGAAGGTATCCTGTTGATCTTTCTTTCCGAAAGCCATATTGATGATCGCTCAAGATGTTGAAGCCTTCCAAATATTTGATGATTTGATGTTGTTGTGGAATTGGCCGCGGTGGTAGTGCGCCCGACTCACGATCGGAAGGACGTGGGTTCGATTCCCGCCTCGACCAGATATTTTTCTCGAGAGAATTTATCTGGTTGAAGCTGGGATGATTCTGCAACAGTGTTAGGATCACACGTTTAAAGGTAAGACCTCGTTAGTACTTAGCTTGCACAAGTTTCTCAGCTTCTGAGAGTTCGTATGGGGCGACAGCTGATTAACGGAAAAATAGATTTTAAACAGATTTTAAACATATCTTTACGACTTTATCCACGATTTTTGATATCACTGATAGCAAAGCGACTGGTCTATAGTTATTTGGAAGATTTTTCTTGCCCTTTTTGGGAATAGGTTGAACGTAAGCAATTTTCCAACAAGAAGAAAAAACCCCTTTATTTTAAGACAGGTTGAAAAGTCTGCAAAATACTGGTGCGAGTTCATTTTCACTTTTTAAGTACGATGACGGGCAATTCATCAGGACCAGCCACCTTGTTGATATTGAATTGTTTCAAAATTTGCCTGACTAGACGTTGACGAAAAGTAATTTCTGGCATAATGGATTCTAATATGGGAATAGTAGGTGGTGCCTTTCCCAGAAAATCGACTGTGGAGTAAATTTACTTTTTCTATGGTTATTTTTACAACTGAATTGTGGATTTTGTGAAGTTCTGATTAACAGCTTTGACTACCAACCAGAAGGATCTAAACCCGTTGGGATTGACAAGCAGTTTATCCCTAATTATCTGATTGTAAAGTTTTTTACTTTCATTTATCCTAAATTTGCAGTTGTTGACAGCATTAATAAACTTAGTTCGGTTTCTGGCAATGGGATTTTTGCTCCACTGCCGAAAGGCGAGATTTTTGGAGGCGACAGCTTGCATGCAATTTTCGTTAAACCAAGGTTTGCCGTTAGAAGTTCGTTTCATCGAAAAAGGAATATATGCAACCATGGATGATAGAATAACTTCCGTTACTTCAGAAGCATAAAAGATGGATCTCTAGAGCTGAAACAAACATCTAGCCAGGGAAAATTTCGGAAATGATCTTGAAGATCTTCCCACTCAGCAAATCTGTAATGCCAAACTTTGTGCGACTTAGATTGTTTCCCAACATTTATCGGTAATTCACTCAACACTGAAATGAGTTTGTGGTCAGAAGATCCCAATAGAGACCTTACGGCGATTGTGTGAATTTCTGGATTGGTTGTTAGATATAGATCCAGAAGACTAGCATATTCTCCATCACGGTCAGGAATCCTGGTTGGCTCATGTATAATCTGAGTAAGTCTGCAGCTTATTGCGAAAGCTTCAGTTTCGTGATATTTGAACATTTGAGCCATTCGATTTCTTATATCCAGCTTGTTTTTCCGTTGGATCAAGAAAAATATGAAATTTGATATCTGACATTATATTTCCGTGTTAGGAATCACACGTTAAAAGGTAAGACCTCGTTATTCCTTAATTCGCACAAGTTTCGACTTTTGAGAGTTGTCGTTTGTAGAGGGCGACATATTTTAACAGACAGAGGGACAGATTTGTTTTCTGAAATAATAATTCACAATTGGAAGTCATGAAAATAGAGTATATTACGCACCTAGGGAGAAAAGTACAGCATACGGAATGACGTTCAAAGAAAAGTTCGGCATATGGAATGCCTTACTTTTCACCCGTGGAGCGTATACAATTTTTTGTCACTGCGGGATGAAAAGTTTGATAATTTAGTTGTTTCAGCAGCAGGAAAAGTAGGTTATGAGCATGCGCGTTAGTGTTATCTAATTGGTAGAGAATGAGGCAATTTTGTATACAGGTGACAAAAAGCGAACATTCCATCCCGCAGTGAGAAAAAAGCTGATGTTGGTGTCGAAATGAAAAAAGTAGTTGGTTTTGGATTATATTTTGTATAATAAATACATAACATTTATACATCCTTAAATTATGTTAGCCATTTCGTGGCCTCTTAACAAAATGGCTTCTTGACATTAATATATATGACTAGTCTTATGTTATTTATGATATTTTGACGAACATCAAAGTTCCTACTTATTTTTTGTTTTTTTTCTGAGGTCTCCCTATCAAGCTTTATTACAACATATACTCTTTGTAATATTACAATATACATTTTATATACATGCGTGGAACTGGATGAATTCCTTAATAAATTAAATTATGTCTTGTATTCATTTGCACCGTGACAATATAACTGTTCACTTTCGCGTATGATTCGGTCAGTTCACAAATGAATTCACAATACCATATAAATATATCTTTACAGAAATATCGAATGTTCGAAAATTCATTATTGGCTAATTTTGATCCACATGATGAATGCTGAAGTTTTAACAAAATTTGGTTATTCAACGCGATACATTTTTTACACTATTTTGTTGAATCAACCAATCTTTCTTATGGGAATGCAATATGAATTCGGAAACACTCGATAATATTCAAAACACGTAAAATGTTATCACAGACTACCGCAAATGCGGTTGTGTGTCTCTTTACACATTTCAAATTAAACTAACCGTACCTATATATACATACAAACATTGCACTGGTTATACCACTACATTATATTATTTATTAAAAACTATAACAATAACATCTTTGAGTTCTGACTAGAAACGTAAAATGTCACATTGGTGATGAAATACTTTGAAGAAGATTCACTTGTTACCATAATTCATATTTCGTGTAAAAATAAAGTGAAATGTCATCAAATTTAATGAGAAAGGTTTCAGTAGAGCACACAAAATAAAAGCAATGATCACTATCAAACATGAGATTACAATATAATCTAGTATATTGTTGACCAGTCATGTAAAATTTTATGTCACACTATTGCCTTTTCACTAACTGTTACCGTATTAGGGTTATCAATTTCAAAACTACCCATATGTAGCTTCTCTTCAGAAAACAACAAAGAAACTTTGAAAAACAGCATTTTGAGGAACAGTTTCAAGAAATATTTTCATCCCGCATGGTTCAACCTTCAACAAGGTAGGTGTTATCTTGAATTAAAATACAAATAACATTTTGGAAATTTCTCTCTCGTAAACTAAAATTTATTTTTGTAAAAAAAACAGCAGATTTACTATTTAGCCAGCGTAGAACTACTTGAAACTAGCCATCATTTGTTTAAGTGGATTTACTCTACTTCAGTTTATGTTAATTATATACGAATTTGATATATTTTCGATATATCAATGCTTTAAAAGGAATATATTTTTCAGTATGATACAGACATTGGGAGTAGAAATTGTGGCTGAGAATAATAATAAAAATATAGTAAAGTTAGTGAAAATAACAACCTTACTCATTAACTGATGAAAATATTAAAATTTACGAATTAAAAAAATATTTTCGATACTGACAACATGAGTTGAAATGCCGAACTTCGAAGATGTACGATTTTTTATTACATTGAACGTCCTATCTCCAGGAGTTTCGAAATGGCAACAGTGTGAAATTTCATTTTTACTTTTAGATATCGCCAAACCTAACTTCAATCAGATATTCATTTGTTGACTTTTAAAGATATTTTCATTTATGGTCACCACGAAGTATGTACTACACTAGCAATTTTACATAAAAATATATTTATCTGATTGACATAGAGATGAAAGTGATAATGGCAATGAGCAAAAAAAATTGAGTGTTCTATCCACAGTCTTCTACGGTTTAGGTAATATCTACGTATTGATCCTTTTAACAAATGTTATTACAACTGAAAATAGAAATGGATAACAAAGCAAATAACGATGAATTTCATGTTCTGGAATGTAAAATAAATATAAATTTCTTTATAGTACTTAGATTTTAATACTGGAAACAAGAAACTAAAAAAAGAGAATAACAAAAATAGAGTTAATACTCTTTGTTTTTTCAAACAGTTATCGTGATGAATTCACTTTTGTAAATTGGTTGGTTAACAAGGATTCAAATTATCTTAATGCTTTGGGCAAACTGATACTGCTTTCTAGCATCAAACAAAAAGTGAGAGTCTCATGGAATTCAAACTACATGTGTCATGAGAAACCAATCAACAAAGGGCGAACAAAATTTGAAATGCTGTAATAGTGAAACGATGAGAAGGGAGAACTTCTCTCATTTCTTCATACTAATTATAATAAATCTAAATACTGTTCGCAGTAGATGTACCCACCATTCTCTACATGGTCAGTTTTCTGGTCCAATCCGAACCCGAGGTTGGGCTAGTGGAAGGTCATGCATAGTGCGTATAAGATCCAAGAGGGGGTGCTCCAAGATGTGGCCCCGCGTGGTGACCTATGGAATGTGTACTAGCGGCAATGTTGGAATACAGGTTTGCACTGGGGTTACTCCAGTATGATCCTGGTGACGGAAATATTGACGCTGAAACAAAAAAGGACGCATATAACTCTTTGAAAAATGATTCATCTTTATAATTAATATTATTTCTAAAAGGAATGTCAAGTAAGGAATGTTTTGAAGATTTCTATCCCTTCGAAGATACACCGATTTCATTAGCCTAGTAGTGAGAACGAGAATCACCACCTTGATAGAGACATGTGGATGTTGAAGAGAAAGTCTCGAGCTCTACAATTTGACAATTTTCCCTTCCTTTTCCGAGACATATTCGTTTCATCCGGTGTTGAAGACTCCTTGTTGAATATGTCCTTATTTCATATATGCCAATTTTTCAAAGAGGTGCGTCAGTGGGCAGTGTATTATCACTAAGAGTGTGACGTGAACAGAACCAATAATTTTAGAAATCCTTGGCTGACTGCAAATAGATTCAGTGACTATGTATTATTCTCCGATAATAACAATTTTGAATGATCTATCTGTCTTCGATCTCAGTAATGTAGAAGAATAAGGTCTTGGAATCCAGAACTATTTCAATACCAGCGAAATTCTAGTGAAAGTGAGCATCAATATTCATGAAAACCATAAAAAAAGTTGTAATAGTGAGGAAGGCAGAAAACCTGGAGCCTTGAGCATGAATGTAGTGGGAGTAGAAGACCAACAAAATGGATTTATAATCCTGATCCTGAAAATGTAGATATTCTATTGTCTCTCAAACAATGAAGAAAATCACTCTTTAGAGTGATCTTATTCATTTCATTTCACTCTTCAGAGTGATTTCATTCATTTCACATACATCTAACACTATCGCCCTCAATGGTGTTCTTCAACGTTTCGGGACAAGATACTTGTCTTATTACCTCATAAGCACCGTTTAGGATCACATTTCAAGAATAAATTGTAAGAAATAATAGTCCGGTCAAATTAGAATAAAAATAAGAGTGAAGGTACATAAATTTACAACAAGCTGCAAATGCGTGTAATTGTTCAAAACATAGTTGAAAACTCACCGTTTTCCTGAAAATTGCGAAAAACCAATTTTTTTCGAGATTTTTGACCTTTGACCTCGAATAAATTTTTTTCCAGGCATCGCAATCATTCGGAATTTTAAAATCTTATTTTTAACTATGTTTTGAACAATTACACGCATTTGCAGCTTGTTGTTAATTTATGTACCTTCCAATGTCTAGATTGACCGTATTATAAGTGCTTCGTCTTGAAGTCACGGTGAAAAAACTTGTACTTCCTCATGGATAGTAATGTCCAGTGAGATTGTAGTAATGAATACTCGCAACTGTTCAGTGGATCAAAAAAGCGATTAACAACTATAGTGATTCTGTATTATTCTCGGAAGAGGGAAATTTACATTCTCGAAAGTATATATCATGTTTAAATTGAATGGGTATATTTTTAGGAGGGAATCATTTTTGGGAAAAAAAGATTTTGGCTTTCTACTTCTCCATCTTGATACAAAAAAATAAACGAATTGAGTGTTTTTTTTATAATGTTATCCGTATTTGCTACTGAAGAGCCGATAAGACAAGTGTCTTACGACGAAATATTGGATGTCTAGCAGTGAGGGTTCCATGTAAGTGAAATTTTACTTCTTTTATTAATTATATTGTGTAGGAATCCTGTGAATGATATCTGATTCGATTCCATTACGAACAACATAGAGAAAAGTGTTTTTCATATAATTTAGCGTTTACATAAAAGTATTTGTTTCGAAAGTATTTTCGTCTCGTGAAATTCAATGTTTATATGAAAATAGCTGTTTCGAGAGGGCTATTTCCATCAGATTGTGTCTGAAAGTAACTTCTTTGCATGATCATTCTGTATAGAGCTGATTTTTTTAATTGGATGCTTTTTTCCTTTCTTTGGGAGATTCCCACATTTTTTTGTATGAAGGTGGAGAAGTAGAAATCAAAACCTTTCTTCCAAAAAAATATATATTACTACGCAGTTGGATCTGTGATATTCCAAGGGTAGGTTGGCAAAAAAAAGGTTATTCGTTTCTTCAACATAACCTCTCTGATCATAATTTCACGTTGAAAATTAGTAAATTATCATTATAGTAAATGAGAGATAGTGAGAGACTGCCTGGTATATCTTAACTAGAAAACTGAACTACAAATCATGAAAAACGCAACTTTATACATTAACATACCTACTCTCAACGATATGGAGTTCCCTTTCACTCTGAGCCCTAATAGCAATTTCCTGGACATTGTCGCATACAAATAAACTTGATCATATGCCAGGTTCCGGAACGAATTTCAAAAAATTGAAAAATGAAGATGATTAAAGATGTCTTCCAATGTTAGAAAATGACTGAAGATATAAAAGGAAGAAATTTATGGAAGATGACGTCTTTAACAAAACCTATTCTTCAAGTATTTACGTAAATATTTAGTTTGTTTTTCTCAAAAGTTGATATCGTCCAACAAAATCAAGCAATTCAACTAGGGGTAGGTAGGTAGAAAGTCTAAAGTGAGTGGGTCTATTCGACCCTCCACCGCAACCCACAAGGGTTTATTGTGGCTCACACCTATTCACACACTCGGCCAAATAGACCCAGCTTCTTAACGAAGCCGAATAGTTTGTATGGTGAGTGGTCTTTCAGGTCAGATGATGAGAGTACGGATCTGCCGAACTCAAAGAACCTGATTCGGTCCCCAGCCGGGCAGGCACAAAGTATATGCTCTGCAGTTTCATCATTTTCCAGGCAGAGGCGACACACACTGTCTTCCGACAGTCCAAGTCTCTACATGTAATGATTCAAATGACAGTGACATGTGAAGGCCTGTTAGACATCGTAGTTCATCCCTACTGTAGTCTAACAACTGTTTGGAATCAAGCTTCGAAGGGTGAATAAGCGCCTTGGAGTGTGCCAATCCTGGAAGATTCTGCCAGAAGTCAATAATTCTTCTTGCCATCCAGGTATTCAGTGTTTGTTTGGCAAAGCCCAAAGCGATGCCAATGACAGTTTCTGGTCCAATGAAGCCGCTTGCAGCACCCTCCTTTGCAAGAGAGCCAGCAGCTTCATTGCCTTTCAGACCAGAGACAATCTGTTTAGTATTCCTATCGAGGAGAGTCTTTTTTGACAGTTTGCTACCAATTTAGACGGATCTCGGTAGGATCCAAGAGCTTCCAACGCCGCTTGACTGTTCGAGAATATTTTTAATGACTTGTGAGGTTGGATTTATCCAATCTCTCCGCACACAATCCAATAGCGTAAATTTCCGCTTGAAATACAGTCGCATAAGTTCCTAGACAGGTAGATAACTCTGTCCTGGGTCTGCGACTGAAAACACCTGCACCAGAACCGGAAGGTGTTTTTGATCCATCTGTGAACCAACAACTATCTTAATATCTCCTTCTCCCGCAGGATCTAATCCTCTCTACTCGGGAATAGTACTTTATAAGGCAGTTCGTAGTTGACTGTTGGAGGCATGAAGTCAGAGGTCATTTCCAGAATGCTGTGACTTCCAATATCAACCAACAGTCTGTTGCACTCTGCATTGAATTGATTTGTGCAATTGGCAATGTGCACAAGTCTGTATGCAGTCCATCTATGTGGAGAGGAGGTAGATCTAGAAGGATCTCTATGGCCGCTGACGGTGTGGTACTGATGGATCCACTGATAGCCAGACAAGCCTGTCTCTGTAGGCCAGAGAGCTTCGCTTGGGCCGTTTTCTGTGAAGCCTTCGGCCACCAAGCAATTGCACCATAAGTGATCATTGGTCTGACAATCATCACATGAATCCAATGGATTTATTTGGGACCTAAACCCCAAGTTTAACCACAAATCTTTCGACATGTCCATAGAGACAGTCTGGCTTTGTGTAAAACTTTTTCCAAGTGAGCGTTCCAGGTGAGTCTTTTATCAAGGACAATGCCAAGATATTTCACCTCCGTTCCAAATGGAATGACCACAACTAGGGGTACTACAAGGATTGGTTTTTGGACCACTTCGCTTTGTTCTCTATGTGAATAATTTATCTTGATCCATCACAGATGATCATATCACAATGTACGCTGGCGATACAAATATCACAATTTCAGGCGACACGTCGATGTAAATGAGTTGGAACAGAAAATGGACCGCACAATAAATGAGTTTCGTTTTTGGAGTCAGCAAAAACGATTAATATTTAATACATCAAAAACAATTGAGAATTATTGTTTTTTCCTCAAGAGAGGAAAAAACAATAATTGTAGTTAAAACGATAGACACACCTAGGATTTCTGAATTGACAGTGTTTGAACTCGGCCTACTTTGCCATAAAACGCATGAGAAACTGCATAAAGTGTAAAGGATTATCAAATATCTATTACACCATGGTATATCCACACTTTTTACCAATATCATTTGCTTGGGATAAGCCAGAAATGTCATCAGAAACGAATCATAAGATTGGCTTCCGTAATGAATCACTAAGAAAGTTGTAGGACAGTATTTGCTGAGAAAAAGTATCTGACCATTTCATCTATTTATATTTTTGAATGTGTCATGTATATGAAGAACAACAAGAATCCATCTTCTGAATCCAAATCGAGCTCACATAAATATGATACCAAAGCAAAAAACCACGCACTTTGAACATTCACCAACAGGAAATTCAATTACTCTATTTAATAAGCTGTCGAAATTAGAGACATTTCGGATTCTAAGATATTTTGAAATGGAGTAAAAACTTTCCTACCAGGAAAATGTCATTACTCTTTGCAAGAATATTTGAGTGACAACCAGTATTAAGTAATCGTATGTATGTATTGAGATGTAGTATCTTAGATTGACCTCTTCGACCTTATGATAGTCCTGAATAACATTTTTAAAAAATTTTGGTATATGTGTTTACATGTGAGGAATGCTTTCAATGACCGTAATCTTATATCTATAGTTTTTATAATTTTTTACTTGCTGGATCTGCATACTTGTAACTCGCTTGGCCAATAAACATTATTGAAATATCATATTGATGCTTATTATTCATTCAAACGAATTATGTACAAACGAATATTGACCAGTCTGATATTATCATAGAAACTTTTTATACATAAAAATAACAACGTTAAATTCACGAAAGTCGTTTGGAAATAAGTAAAACTTAATCTTAATGTACTCTCATGAAAAGCGAAATTCATAGCCTATCAGTGTCTTTCAGACAACTTTCCTTGGTACATTTACCATAATCTAAATTCCTCTTTGGCGGATAGCTTTGTTCTGGCGCTAATGAATATTCCCATAAAGGCGTCTTGGTCTTTGTTTTCGCGCATCCACCGTAATGATGAACACTAACAAATCACGCCGCACCGAATTTATGAGTGCTTTAATGCAATTCATTTGTGTTGTCATCGCGAATAGGCAATTTACTATAATTTATGGGGTGTTCCATTTAATGCGTCGCTACGCCGCTAGAATGAGAATCCTTCACTTTCCCCTCAGTAGCTCACCGAGACGAATAATACAGTCAAAATGGACATTAGGACACATTGCATGTGGTTTTTTTTCATTAGTAAAATGAAACCTTTCCTATTTGATTACTACGTATGAGAAAATTTTCCGAATAGAAAAATGGAAAGAAAATAGCTCAAAACACACATGAGACGTAAGAAGGGACGCAGAGGGGCAGCTGGCAACGCGGCGTCAACATTTCTTTGGGCTGTTTTCACTGTTCAGCTTGGCAATACTGAACTATATTTCAAATATTGTTATTCTCTAGTTTCAAGTATTGATACATATTGGTTTACATAACGTAGGGTGATCAGTATAACTAGATAACTATAAATTTGGCAAAATATGTGTAACTATCAAAAATAATTTCATTAGGCTAAGCCCATAACAATTCAACTGGTCATCTTTTTTGTAAAGCGCTTTTCATTCATATATATCAATATTTTGTATTAGCTGAAATATGAAACCAAAAATTTGTTACACTATCTAGCTAGACTATATATTTCGTATTTAGATATTGCATCTCCAGGAAAATTTGATATTTTAATAGTCCTGTCTTACCTTACCAATATGCAAACAATTGATTATTTGGAAAAATATGTATCTACCCCTGGGAGATTATCAAACTAAGCATTGATGAATCTTTTTCAGTCATCATTATAGCAATGACACGACTGAATCACAAAATCACTAGTAGCACCCTATATTCAATCAAAAATATACAAAGCAAGATCGATAGAACTGAAAAATAATGTTCTTTTATAGTCAAGTGAATGAATATATTCTATTTCATAGTACCAATTTTGAGAAACTGTGGTATAAAAACGGTGTGACCGACAATTGGGGAACCAAAGATTCTCCATGTAGGGTTTTTCCCACAACTATTCAGTTTAGAAACATTTTATTTCTTCATTGATTTTTATTTTGTATTATGAATTTATGGTAGGAAATTAATTTCTTATAACTGCATTATTGAGCAGTCGTCCAAAATATCCATCTGCTTGGGTTTTTACGTTAATTCTTTTATTTTTATGTTTACTTATCATTTTCGTATTTTCTCAAAATTTTGTCAGGGTTATAAAGTCAATCAACATTCCCCTTGAAAAATTGGAATGTATGAATAAATTATTTCAACAATGGATATAATCTCAATTTTTTGGGTCAAGTTGATAACCCAACCACAACCACAACCCAACCAACAAAATATTTGTGAACAGAAGCAGATGTTGGTTGGTGGTCAAGATAGTTGTTCTCTTTCATTAAATGTTTCATACTCATTCATAATTGAATTATTCATAGTTGTTCATTCATACTTATCTATATAACGAGAAAAAAGCGAACTTTGATGACTTGGGTAAGAGAGTCGCACATTTTACTTCTGCGCACTGAAATCATTACATTTGTCAAATAATTTGAATATTGTTGCTTTACTCTCGATTGAAACTGCCGATTTAGTTTTGCATCAAGTTATTTATTACACGTGAAAAATTGATCTAGATCTGAAAAAGATAATAATCTTATCAATTGGAGTTCGTGCGTCAATGGTCAACATCTGCACTACACGGTAGATGTTTTTTGTTGTATTGAATTGTACATTGTACAATTCAATACAACCCAGTTGTACATTTTTCATTCAACATCGAAATAAAATGAGACTTGTAAGGATTTGTGACTAGTTGTTATTTGTTTATTGGAATTTTCATACATTGATCAAAAACATCAGAAAAAGAACCTGTTTTCGTAGCATGTAGAGCTTTGATATTTTCTTATAATCAGTAACCATCAATTACTGTAGTCATATAACTGTAATGTCTTATGTATGATACGGAATGTTGAATTTTTCTTACCGATACCACATTACACTGTATAAACTCGTGTATATAATAATAATGTACATTAGGGCACGTCAAAGTGCATATAAGCATTTCAAAAATTTGAAATGGGGATTCATAGAAAAAGTATTGGAACAATATTTGTAGATAATTGCATGTTCTACAAATTTCATTTGACTTATTTTGAAGATAACGCCTTTAACGTCAGCAATGCAACGAATTAAATTTTTGATATTTGACATCTAATGAATTTTTAACACATTTGTAAACGTTGGTGATTTGTGATATTTTATTTATAATAGTGTATTTAGGATCTATACTATTAGCTTTACACTTTTTTACCTTGTTTGACTGGACTAAGATCTCAAATTCAAATTAAGAAAAACCCCCAGACTCTTCCATACTGATCAGTCACGAGCAATATTTACTGAAGACTAAATGGTATGCTAAGTTGTTGCGGATGACAAGTGACGAACAGATATCGTTTATTGTTTATCTAGCACTCGAGCTGAGCTGTATTCTATTGAAATTACTTGGGTAGTGTTTGTTTTGATTCCTGACAAGTCTTATTTTGTGAATCCTTCATGCAAAACTCGCGAACATTTTCTTTTCGAAGGCAATAATAAGTTGAATTATGGAATCGATTCATTAAGTAAATTGGGGAAATATTGGGAAATGAAAAATACTTAATATTTCCACTTATCTGATTAGGATTATATGGTCGAATTTTCTGTTTCACTATCTGTAGTAGAAATTTGTTTTTCAAGTAATTTTAGAACATTTTTTGTTTTAGTGTTGGATGAACAAATTTTTCATTTCTGTTTTTGTGCAACTCAGACCTACTCATTCACTATATTTGTACGATTTCAGTTCAGTTCAAACTCTCTGCATGTCCTCATCTGTAAATGAGAATTTTCGTCGTGTTTCAACCTGAATAGTATGCTAGTTGTGAATGAAATCTCAACTTCTTAGCACGTTTCCCTACTCGGTAATAACACTTGCGTAATGTCTTGATTGTGCATTGTTTCACCCCTCTGGAGAGCGAGCATTACCCGTCATTTAATCGACCCCTCCCAAATAAGGATATTGTTAACAAACTACCCTGATGCCTATGCATGCCGCCGACGAAATGTGCCTTTATTGTGCCACTGTACTGCTTAATGGATATTTTGTACACTCACGGTCATTAGTTGTGGCCCACTTTGTCCCGTTGGGAGTGTTTATTAGCTTTTGGTTGGATTTATTGTCAATTGTGGGTGAAACAAATTCTTAGAGTATTGGGATTTAGTATCTGATTTCTGTTAGAAAACCGACTTATTCTTATAAACGATTTTTTATTAGGTTATTTATGATGACATCACTTACTTCATACAGTGAAACCAGTGATATGAAATTCACAACATTACATGTTGTTCAATATTTTCGGAAACTGAAATTTGATACATTCCTTACGTGTGATAAATCTCTGTTTTCGTTTTATTATTTTTACAATAGATTGTGGAGTAGGTTCCCGAGTAGAGAGGACTGGATCTTCCTGGAGAAGGAAATATTAAGAGCAGATAGTTAGTTGTTGGTTCTCAGATAGATCAAAAACACCTTTCGGTTCTGGTGCAGATGTTTTCAGTCGTAGACCCAAGACAGAGATATCCACCTGCCTAGGAACCTATGCGGCTATATTTCAAGCAGAAGTTTACGCTACTGAATTGTGTGCGGAGAGATTGAAAACATCCAACCTCATACACAGGTCAATAAAAATATTCTCGGACAGTCAAGCGGCGTTGAAAGCTCTTGGCTCCTACCGAGCAACGTCTAAATTGGTAGCAAATTGCCAAAAACGACTCTCCTCTATAGGAAGACTTAACAGATTGTCTCTGGTCTGGATCCTGGCCATACTGGCCTGGAAGGCAATGAGGGTGCTGACTCCTTTGCAGAGGAGGGTACTGTAAGCAGCTTCATTGGACCAGAACCTGTCATTGGCATCGTTTTAGGCTTTGCCAAACAAAGATTGAACACTTGGATGGCAAGAAGATTTATGAATTTCTGGCAGAATCTTCCAGGATTGGCTCACTTCAAAGCGTTTATTCACCCTCCAAAACTTGATACCAAACAATTGTTGGACTACAGCCTACTGTAGTTCATCCCTAGATGAACTACGACATCTAACATGCCTTCTTACAGGAATCATCATATGCAGAGACTCGGACTGTCGGAAGACAGTGTGTGTCGCCTCTGTTTGGAAATGATGAAGAAACAGCAGAGCACATACTTTGTGCCTGCCCCGCTAGGGACCGAATCAGGTTTTTAGAGTTCGGCAGAGCCATACTCTCACCATCTGACCTGAAAGACTACTCACCATACATACTAATCGGTTTCATTAAGACGCTGGGTTTATTTGGTCGAATGTGAATTGGTGTGAGCCACAATAAACCCTTGCGGGTTGCGGTGGAGGGTCGAATTGAACACTTTGGACCTAACTTAACCCAAGGTTCACGATCTGAGTGCATTTCATGAAATAATCTGCATACCTCTCGTTGAGTCCTTATCATATTGCATGTATAGGTCTCACTTTATTCTGATGCACAGTGCGGACGTGAATAATCCCCCCTCTCCCGAACTTCCGAGCGGAACAAGATATCACAGTCGGACAACATTTATATGAAAAGAAATCATTCTCAGTACTTTTTAAGACATCACTTACTATGACGTGACATCACTTGCCATTGAGAGGGCGCTATTTTTTCAAATAGAAAGGGGGTACTCCAATTCTCTATATGCTGTTTTGAATTTTTTGAAATAAACGTAAATGTAAATAAATTTTACAGTATTTCTGGTACAAAAGCTTATTGTAGTATTATAAAAAATCACGTCAGTGTGTGGGGTGAACTTTCTTTTTAATTTATGCTAAGGATTTATAATAACGTTTCTTCGTGACCTTACGATGGTACATATAGTCGCATATGAAGACGACACTAACCTTTTGATTAAAGCAAGCAATCCTATAATACTTCCAGAAATACATGAATTGGTCTATAAAAAAGTAATTACATGGGCTACTAAAAATCATCTACCACTCAACATCAATAAAACAGTGTTAATGAAATATTCGTTAGGTAGTATGAATGACAACAAATTCACATGGAATCCACATATTGACCTATTATTCTACGATAAATTGAGAAAAATTGTCACACACTAAGATTCAGCATTTTTTAAAAAAAGTCTTTACCTTGGATCAAAATTTTTCGATAAGTTGGACAGCACAATAAGAGACTCGCGTAATATTTTCATTTTTTAAGCATGATTGAAAGCCTATCTTATCCAAAAAAACTGCTATAACATCAATGAATTTCGGCAAATCAATACCTAACTGTTTGAAAAAAATCTGTTTAAAATCTGTTTTTCCGTTAATCAGCTGTCGCCCCCATACGAACGACAACTCTCAGAAGTTGAGAAACTTGTGCGAGCTAAGGACTACCGAGGTCTTACCTTTTAACGTGTGATTCCTAACACGGTTGCAGAACCATCCCAGCTTCAACCAGATAAATTCTCTCGAGAAAAATATCTGGTCGAGGCAGAAATCGAACCCACGGTCTTCCGATCGTGAGTCGGGCACACTACCACTGCTGCAATTTCACAACAACTATTCACACTAATATCAAAATATTCTACCCTTTTATATGTAAATGAGACTGTAAATGTTTGAAAATTTGTGTTGTATTATATTTATTATGTTTTACAGCCTATGGACGCCTTCCTTGTAACTGTGTACTTTTTAACGAGAGAAGTTAATAAATATTATTATTATTATTGAAAAGAGAAATTCATTAGTATTAACCTCGTTATTATTCATCTTATACATGACAAAAAAGGCTATTTTTCTGTACTGTCTCAAGTTGCGTAACAGGAACTTTATTTTTGATATAGCCACAAAGAAAACAATCCTCATGCCTGGGTATGTCTGATCCAATCAATCTCAAAGGCCTCAAAATATCAGAGGACGCATTATATTTTTGGTAAACACCTGAATTTTTGACTTCATTGTGATTGTTGGTCATAATTTCTTGGATTCGTTATTGAATGATGTTTTGAAAATTTCCAAATATAAATCATCAGTCAGACTTTTCTCCAGATATATAGAATCAACAATATGATTTCCCAATATTTCTTCCCAGACATTTATTTTCTCAAGAATTTGAGTGTGAGCTTTTTGAAAAATATTTGGGTTTATGTCTGACCAATACGCACATTTTGGCGGTTGACATTTTAGTATGAGAAAAAAGTGCATTCGTCACTAAAACAAATACTTGTTATGCAGTTTTGATTTACAATCGAACGTTCGGACGTTCACAAAACTGAATTCTTCTGTCAAGATCATCTTCATTTGATTCATGTAATATCTTCAGTTCATAATGGTGTCAACCTTTTCAACCTTTGTCTTTGAGGTATTTCTTGACGGTGGTTGTTGAGACATCATTCTCACGAGCAACTATTGTCGTGGACTGCAGGAAGGTATTCACCACAGTATAATGCTAAAGCGGTAGTCTGAGTATCCTCAATTTTTGGTAAAGAATCAAAGCGCACATGATCGAATCGTAGCAGGTAGCTTTTGGATTCGTTGTGAATTGCCTCGATAATCGGCAACGTTTTCATGTCTAAAATGTTTCATGTAATTCACCGCTTTCGGTCCATCAGACTGACGCTGTTTCGCTTGTGGAGTCATGATAAAGACAAGTTTTATTGTGGCTAATATTATCACTCCGCCAGAAATATTCCAATATATATGTTCAGTTATTTTTTTTTATTTGAATCAGAATTTTATTTCAGAGATCATGGAGGCCTAATTCCATCTAAGGCAAGAAGTGATAATTAATCGATAGGTCCTAGATAAATTTATAAATAAATGTTTTCATTACTGGACTCATTTCTTTCCTTTCACTTAATCTTCTAAATCAATTTTTATCTCAATTTTATGGATAATTTCATCTATAATGAGCGTGCCTGGGATGGAAAGCTCCTTTTCGATTCTGTGGAGCATGTATCCTCAACCTTGTGATAAATACCAGAACTATAAGGCAACATACATTTTGAATTCTTCAACGTCCAGATTGGCACTTATAAGAAGTGCAGCTGAGGTCGTCAGGAACGACTGTAATTTTAATAATTTGCTTTTCTGAAAAGGTCCCGCTGTTATTTGAATCCCAGTTGATTTATACTTCATGTTTTGATCGACGTTTTTCAGTTTTATAATGTATACCGTTGCTTTTTGACAAGGTGCTCGGAGTACTTATTTTCATTCATGTCTGTAACGGCCACTGAGCCATATAAATTAGAAAATATCTAACACTTCAGAACCTGCTGCAATAATTACGCTATTATTCATTTAATGTTTAAGTCACCATTTGACTTTAATATTTTTGATTTAAATAATAATTCTCAGACTAACTCAACTCACCTATAGATCTTTAGGAATTTT